GGCGGGGCGGGGCCGGCCCTGAGCCCATCTCCCTGCGCCCGCGGAGCAGTTGCCTACATCGTGGACCTGGACAGCGACACCGCCGACAAGTTCCTACAGCTGTACGGGGCCAAAGGGGTCAAGAGGGTGCTATGCCCCATCAACTACCCCGAGTCGCCCACCCGCTTCACCCACTGCGAGCAGGTGCTGGGCGAGGGCGCCCTGGACCGGGGCACCTACTACTGGGAGGTGGAGATCATCGAGGGCTGGGTGAGCGTGGGCGTCGTGGCCGAAGACTTCAACCCGCAGGAGTCGTACACGCGGGGCCGGCTGGGGCGCAACGCGCACTCCTGCTGTCTGCAGTGGAACGGCCGCAGCTACTCCGTCTGGTTCCACGGGCTGGAGGCGCCGCTGTCCCAGCCCTTCTCGCCCACGGTCGGGGTCTGCCTGGAATACGCCGACCGGGCCCTGGCCTTCTACGCCGTGCGGGATGGCAAGATGAGCCTCCTGCGGAGGCTGAAGGTGTCCCGCGGCGGGGGCAGTGCCCCGGCCGCCCTGCTTGACTCCTTCCAGAACTGCCTGGACAACTACTTTGTGGGGCTCTTCAGGACAAGGCTCAAGCCCGCCTTCTTCCTGGAGAGCGTGGACGCCCACCTGCAGATCGGGCCCCTCAAGAAGTCCTGCATCTCCGTGCTGAAGCGGAGGTGACGGGCGGGCACAGCCCACCCCGGCAGCCTGCTTCTCGGGCGCCAGGGGAGGCCCTGGCTCGCAGGCCCCCAGCCTCCAGCCTTCTCACCTCTAGAGGCTCTGCTGGCCAGACACTTGGGCTTCCACGTCACCGGGAGGAGCCCCGGCCCCATCCAGTGCCCTCAGGCCTGTCTCCCTTTAGCCTCAGTTCAGTGAGAGGGCGCCTGGCTGGCACAAACCTAAGCTACCCCACCCTCCCATCCCAGGTTCCTGGGACACAGCCTGGCATATAGTAGGTGCTCAATAAACATCAACGGCATGATTGACTCCCCTTTCTCTCCTCTCAGCCACCGAGACCTGCCAGCATCTCTCATCTTTCAAGGGCCAGGCAGGTGGAGCCGGACCTGTGGGTCAGGGTGCCAGTTGCGAGGCAACCCAGGCTGAGGAGGGGGCTAACATGAGGTTTCTGCCCTCCCCCTTCGGGACCCCGCTCCCTGGTTCTGGGCAGGTCCACCTGGGGTCACTCTGGCTGCCCGAGTGTTTGCCTTGGATGGGCTGGTTCCCACAGGCTATTTCCATCCCTTTCCGGCCTTCCTCTTGGTCCCTGTGCCCAGGGTGGAGGGCAGGGCCCGGCCCGCCCTAGAGCCTGTCACACAGGCTGTGAGGGGGTGTGGCTGTGACCCCAGGGTGTGGCTGCGAGTGAGAACATCCACAGTAAAAATATTAGGATTTGGGTTTGGTGCGTGGGGTTCTTGGGGCCCCCTGGGAAAGGTTTTGGCAGTTTCCCCCGCGGCACACAGACAGTTTCTTCAGGAAACTCAGATGCTTAGATGCTGCCAGCAGGCGAAGCTGCATTTTTAAGCATCTTTAGAAAAAGAGACGCCCATACCCACACAGGTGGGCAGTCTGGGGCAGGAGCTGCGTTCTGCCAGGGCAAGGGGTGTTTTTTAAGTTTTTTGTTGGGGAGTGGGGGTGGGGGAAATCATTCCTTTGTGGGATTTTATCACTTTGGGGATTGGGCTGGTTCTCTGTAACAGATAATCCTTTCTGACCCTACCTCAGATTTCTGGAAAATTCCACAGCCAGTTTAACAAGTGGTTAATCATCCCTGCCCCCACCTCTGGCTTATCCTTGTGAAATCTTGCATCTAAATTGTTCTACTCTAAGTTCCCATCCAACTGACCCACTTCCCACTCTGTTCTGGACCTGGTACCTCTGTACCCAAAATGTGCTCAGCCCCTGCCAGGGAGACCCCAGCCCAGGAGCCAAAACCAGGCCTTTGCCCTAGACCTTCATCAGGCCTGGGGTTCCTGGCCCCTGAGGTTAGAGGGGGTTGCCAGGGCCGCCCCCTCCTGGCTGGGTTCCCTGGAACCCAGGTGCCCTCTAGAGAGGAGAGGCTGGCCTGTGCCGGAAGGGCCAGACAGGCCTCCCTGCCAAGGTCAGCAGGGACAATGGGTGAGTTATACAGCCAGACAGCAAGGCCCGAGGAGTCCTGCCCCTGCAGCCTCCACTGCTAAAAATAGCCCCTCCCCGGAGCCTGCTCCTGTCCCAGCCGCCAGGATGTTGTTTTTCCAGGCGGGGCTCCTGCTCCTGGTGTTTGTGTTCTCACACGGTTCCCTAGCAGCCACCAGCCCCCAGCTCGCTGGGGGCCCAGAGGGAGGCTGCCCTCCTCACTGCCCCAAGAGGACTCAAGGAGCTGCCTCCAGCCTCTCCCCATCTCACAAGCCCGCACACCTGCTGAGTCCTCCACCTCCCCATGCCCACCCCCTCTGAGCAGCCCTCTCCCTGACTGGCAGGGCCTGGCTCTCTGGAGGGGGCAGGACTAGGTGGTGCGGGCTGCTGCCTCCGGTGGGGACTGGGCCAGAGGGTCAGCTGCACCCCCCAGCCGGCCACAGCTGTTTCCTGTTTCCAGGGGTTTTCAGGACCCCCTGCCTCATCACCCAGTCTGGGGCTCTGCCCTCACTGCTGGGGGCCCGGGAGTGCTCAGCCAGGGTGTCACGGGGGTTGGGTGGGCTGGGTGCCCCAGCCTGGGGAGGCAGCCATAGGTGCCCTGGGGTGAGCGGGATGGAGAAGGGGGGGCCGGGAGGGACGCTGTTCTGCGTCCATGCGGCGTCCTGCCTGCCTGGTGCACACGTGTACCCACGTGCGTGGCCAACCCAGTGACTTCTCAGAAACAGTATGTGGAGATGACCCAGAGTTCTGGGGTGTGCACCTGAGGAGCAGGGGGCCACTGTGTCTGACACCTTAGTCTGAGCAGGCTTTGCTGTGAGTCAAGACTGCTTAACCATAAGGCATTGTTTAAAAAGATAAAAACGTTAGACCCCACCCATGTGACCAAGTCTGCTCACCACGACCCTGGCAAGTGAAGAAACAGAGGCACAGACACACAGCAGCTGCCCGGCCACGAATCCGCCTCAGGGCCGTCGAAACAGTCACACACAGTCGCATGCACAGCCAACACCCCCACGTACTTCACACGCGTCCACACGAGCCCCGTCAGCGCCGACTGGCCCCATCCCCGCGGCACGAGCACCCACGAGCACCCTCAGCGGGCCTGCCCAAGGCCCCGTGGTCTCCCACGCTGCCCTGGCGCCCCACCAGCCGCAGCCAACGGCAGAGAGTGTCCTGTCCGGGCCCAATTGCTGTGGGCCTGGCCGGGCTCCCTGGCGGAGCCGCCGCCACTTGAGCGGCTCTGTGGGAACTGCTCGGGGCTCTGGGCTCGGCCCCTTGGCAACTGTGGCCTGGACCCTCCGTGATCGCACCCTTTCCACTCTCAGGAGAAAGGGGGGAGCCTTCTCATCTCCGCTCCTGCCGGCTCTGCCTCCCTCTCTTCTCCCCCTCCGGAGCGAGGCCCGGGGGGCCAGGCTGGGGGCTGGAGCCAGGCTGTGGCCCAACTCCAGGGCCTGGCCAGAAGATGGGGCGGAACGGGCGCGGCAGAGGTTTGCAGCCAACCCTGCTGGCCCAGGGCTTCTCCACAGGGAGGAAAAGAGCATTTAGCTGCAGGGGTGGTGTCTCATAGCCCCAAGGCACCTTCCCATTTGATGCCAACCCCCAAACTCTGGAGCACAAAATCACTCCCTTTCTGCAGTCACGTCTTCCAGGAGAGTTTTGGAACTGCAGGCGGCCCTGGGAACCCCTCGAGCCACCTGACGGAAGCAGCAGCCTCTTCCCCAAGAGTCCTGCAAGAAGGGCCAAGAGGAGCAAGCACCAGCCCCAGGCCCAGACCGGGGGTCCCTGGGGCCAGGCTGCAGCCAGGAAACAGGCATGGGCGTCTTGTGTCGTTTTCTTTACCTGATGCTGTACCTCATTACCTCTGATTTTGCTTTGCCATAAAAATGTTTTCTGTTCCAGCATCAGAGAACAGTTGTGTGAGGTCCAGAATTAGCCTTGTGGAAAAATTACACTTTGCTACTCTCTATCTGCCTGCCTTCGGGCAGGCATGGCTGTCGCCCCTGTGGGCCTGTGAAACTGGGGTGAAGACAGACAGAGCCGGGGCCCTGGGGCTGGGGAGGTCAGACAAGCCCCTGAGCCTCCAGCTCGCAGTGACGGCTGTCCTTCATTCAGCCTCATTTAGCCACCCTGAGGCCTGCTTTGGGTCTTGTTTTCCTGCTCCGTGGACATGTGAAAAGAAAACTGGCTGTTCTCCGGCTCATCTATCTGATGCCAACTCAACTGAGGCCCAGCTGGAGCCCTGAGGAGGGCTGTGTCTTCCCCATACAATGCCAGGAAACAAACACACACATTCGCCTCAGGCAGAAAAAAGGAAAGGGGTGAGGCCTGGAGGAGAGGCCCAAGGGCTGGGGGCCTCCCCACCGCCTGGGGGATGAGGAGTTGGCTAGACAAAAAAGGGTAAGTGGGCAGGGAGCGGGCAGGGAGTGGGCAGAGAGCGGGCAGGGAGTGGGCAGAGAGCGGGCAGGGAGTGGGCAGGGAGCGGCCCCACAGAGGAAGGAGGGAGGAAGGCGAGTGGCCTGAGACTAGTGGGCAGGCCTGACGCAGTCTGGGAAGGATTCTGGACTTTTCCAAAGGGAGGTGGAAAGCCTGGGCAGAGTTGGGGAAATGAAAAGGTCAGATTTGAATTTTTTTATGTTTTACATTTTAAAAAGACAAGTGTGGGGCCCTCGCTGGTGGCACAGAGGGTTGAAGCGCAGCACCCAGCACCATGAAGCTGCTGCAGCTGCTTCAGCATGAGTTTGACCCCCGCCAGGGAGGGACCCCAGGGCGCAGCAGACCTCTCCCGTCTCCCCGCTGTCCCCTCAGCAGTGGACTTCGTTGATCTGCCTGTCCTGCTCCCCACTCTGTCTCTGGTGAAGCTTCTCACCGCCCCTGCACCTCTGGCTTGCACCCCAGTTCTGTATGCATTAAAAAAAAAAAAAGGCTTTCTGGAAAAAGGAGAAAGAAAAAGAAAAAGAAAAAAAGGCCCCTGTACAGCCACAGGCAGCAGGAGAGCCCGTGAGAAAGGGGCTGGAGGGGGGAAATGGGGAGCGAAGGCTACCTCACTGCACCTTTCTCCAGTTGGGCAGGCGCCCCCCATGTCCAGGAGGAGCAGAAATAGCAGGGAGGGGCACAGTGGCCCCTCTTGATCCCTCCTTCCCTGTGCCTCCTGCGGGGTCACCCAGGGCAGCTCCTGGGGGCCTTGGGGGAGCCCCGCGGCTCTCTGGCTTCCTGGCTTTGGGGGCAAGGCGGGCGGGGGCTTGCGTAGGCCCTCTGCATCAGGAGAGCAGCTCGCAGCTGCCCCTGGGGAGACCGGACCAGGGCTGAGGGCCAAGGCCTGGCCGGGAACCTCCAGCTGTGCCTCATCTCCAGAGCAACCAGAAACAGCCGGGCTCTGCGGGAGGGAGGGAGGGACACAGTCCCGCCAGCTGAGCAGCCCCCAAACCGCTGGCCTGCAGACCCCGTCCCGTGGCCGGGCCCCCAAACAACAGCTGATGCGGGAGTTGAGGGCCCCAGCGTTCTCCTCTTGCTGGCTTATGGCAAAGCTGACCGCCGGCCAGGCGTACCAGCGTGAGCCCGCTGCGTCACCCAGGCACAGGACCACGGGTACGGGCTGCCCTTGGCCAAGAGGGCAAGAAGTCCACCTTGGGCACGCCGTGGGGGCAGGGGCCGCCTCCTTTTGTAGAAGGTAACCTTGGGGAGCTGGGGGCTTCCTCCCCGGCTGCTGCGAGCTGCCGGCGCCCCATCCCCGGGCCCTGGGGTGGGAGCCTCGCCCCACTGCCCTCCCCTCACCTCTACCCACGGCTGGTGAGGGATTAGCCGCACCCCCCTTCTGCTCCCCACCCAGACTGCAGCTTGACAAGCCCCGCACCCCAGTTGGC